CCCAAGAAGGAATCTCAAACAGTGTAAGAATTGGAGAGGAATAACACTACTACCTATTGTAAGCAAAGTCCTGAGCCGAGTCATCATAGACAGAATAAAGAACGGAGTTGATGAAAGTCTCAGAAATGAGCAGGCTGGATTTCGGAAGGGAAGAGGCACAACAGAACAAATATTCATTTTACGTAATATTATTGAACAGGTCAACGAATGGCAAGCAACACTAAACGTTAATTTCATTGACTTCGAAAAAGCATTCGATTCTGTGCACCGAGACAGCCTTTGGAGAATAATGAGAATGTATGGAATACTAGAAAAGTTAACCAGTCTTGTCAAAGCTTTTTATGATGACTTCAAATGTGCAGTGATACATCAAGGGGAAACATCGGAATGGTTTGACATCAAAACAGGAGTACAACAAGGCTGCAATATGTCAGGTTTTTTGTTTCTCATAGTGGTTGATTGGAAAATGAGAAGGACTGTACAAAATGGCAAAACAGGAATTAGATGGAAGTTTACATCAAAGTTGGATGACTTGGATTTCGCAGATGATTTGGCGCTGATAGCATCCACAAAACAACATATCCAACAAAAACTGACAGGATTTTTACAGAAGCTCAACGAGTTGGTCTAAAAGTGAATTCCCAGAAGACAAAATTAATGAGAATTAATGCAAGAAATGTTGACAGAATTTACATCGATGGCGAAGTTGTTGAAGATGTCAACGAATTTGTGTACCTGGGTGCAACCTTAACAAAATCAGGAGGAGGAATGGGAGACATGGAAAACAGAATTTCAAAGAGGAGAAATGCATTCAGGCAGCTTAATAAAATATGGAACAGTGACAAAATCAAGAGAGCAACAAAACTCAAGTTGTACAAATCATTGGTGTTGTCAGTGCTGTTATATGGATCTGAAACCTGGAAGATGACAAAAGGCGACGAAAGAAAACTCAATACTTTTCAAACAAAGTGTTTAAGGAGGATAATGAAGATAAAATGGCAAGACCATGTTAGGAATGAAGAATTGCTAACCAGGACTGGGATGGAGAAATTGAGCACTACAGTAATGAAGAGGAGATGGAAATTTATTGGGCACACCTTAAGGGAGGAACCCACAAGCATCTGTAACACAGCATTGACATGGGCACCAGAGGGGAAAAGGAAACGGGGTAGACCCAAAACAACTTGGCGACGCACTGTAGAGAAGGAAAGAAACAAGGCTGAATGGAAGTCATGGGCGGAAGCCAGAGTTGCAGCAGCTGATAGGACAGAATGGAGACGTTCGGTGGAGGGCCCTATGTGCCACTTGGCATCTGGAAGATAGGTAACATTCAAGAAAGGTACGTACTAGAATTTTCACTTTAATAATGCAATGTTCGATTTCCCCGCTGACGAGAAATAGTCATAACTTTATGTCGAAAATAATCACTACTCTTTAACTCCATTTTTTCATGCAAACTGTTTGGTGAAATACCATTTAAATATTATTATTTACTGACACGATATGTCGGATTCATTTCACACGATAAAGAAAACGGCTTTGTCGTGTTTTA